ATACCTACATAATTATTTTTTCTACGATAAACAAGATTGTGTTTCACACTTTTTAAATAAAATAAATTTTTTGCAACCTTTATTTTCAGGAGAAATAATTAAGAAGTGTATAAAAGATATTATAATATACTTACAGCCGAAAGCTTTCGCAGTGCTGTCATCTGTACAAAAATACAATTTGAAATACCCCTGCAGGGTCATAAGTTGAAACTTTTAAGACATAACACCACCTATGTACGTACATTTGATGAAGCAACATGATTATGATCATGAAAATATATTTTCGAAAACGTTTTATTAAGTATCAAATTTTTGGAGTCAATTGGCTAAAAAAATTATTAATAGTTTTTTAAAGTGTCCGAAGACGATAGAAGTTATAAAATGATTTGATGTTATCCATGTCGCAGGCAAATTGTATGATTCCGCATTTTACAAACGGCGTCGTCAATTTACAAACGCTCGCTGTTCTATGAAATGCCGAAGGCAAATTGGCAACTCGTTCAATTGATAAAATTTCGACTATGATTGTTGCAATAGGGTGACCATCATAAAACACATGTTGGACAAATCAGACATAATTTCAGAAATCAGGTAGGTATCTATTTAAGTAAGACAAACCTAAAATACTTGCTACTCCTAAAGTAATTAAGTTATGCTATCGCATTAGGTTTTAAGTACCTGTAAAGATAGTGATAATGTGTGTGGAAATAAATAAATAAATTAAAATATTTTCGTAACAAAAACAACACTAGACTAATTTAAACTATTGACGTACCTATAGGTAGGTACATAAAAATATGACATTAAATAAGTTTCGATAGTCAGTTCTTTAGATAAGTCTTACATTTTAATTATACCAAGAAGAAGTCTAGAAGACATAACACAATATTTTTTATACCAATATATTCCGCAGCAGACCTCCGAGCACCAGATTCCATTGTCACCTTAGCGTGTTTTACGTGCCGGATTTGTGAATCGTAAAAATTTCTTAACTCACTAAGTATAATAAATGTATTTTTTTTGTGAAAAGTCCTTTGAATACGTAGAATTTGCACTGTTTTCTGTATCACAAAACCACTATCCGACGCCATTTTTCTTGTTTTGATTAGCAGCGCCTCGCGTGGTGAGAAAAAGAACTAAATACTTCAATTTGCCGCGGCATTTTGTAAACAGCGATTGAATTGGCTATCAAATGTTTTGGCATATTATAAAGTGCCAAGGCAATTTACATTTTGCCTTCGGCATTTCAACAGCGAGCGTTTGTGAATTGACGACGCCGTTTGTAAAATGCGGAATCATACAATTTGCCTGCGACATCCATACTGCCTTTTTACCTAAGACTTCTTATAATTACAGCAACTATTTATTACAATATTTTCTCTCTTATTTTGATTGCAATGAATCGTGGAAGTTGAATATCTTACCTACATTATTTATGTGTTGGTAGTTATTAAAATACGGACTAGACATACATAGGAATGCGAAATAAGATAGAATATTATTAGCGGATAATATTGAACCACAAAGAAAAAAGAATAAGAAAATGTGACCTCTATATTGTGGTCTTGAAACAGCTCTCTCTTTTATTACAGAAATAAAAAGATTTTAACAGTTTACTCTCACTTCTAAAACTATAACTCGTGCAATACGTCATATTGTATTTTATTTTCAACCAATATTTCAATACACTACATCAATATTTCAATACAATAAAATAATCTTGTTGAATGTAATCAAAAGTAGGTAGTTGTTCAAAAGCATTAATAAATAACATAACGAAGCACATCTGCCACAAAACGGCAGCTTCATACATTTAATCAAAATTAAAATGGATTAATAAGTACTAGATATGTTTACTTGTGTCTTTTTCTTTCATAGCATTTCTTTAATTCAGCAATGTAAACTAAAACCTGAGGATCATTTTTCAAGAAATAAATCTTATTTTATTTTCAAAAAACCTCAGCCCCGCCTACTGCGGACACATTGTTCTTATTTCAGGCGTATAGTGTTCGCCTTTGTGGCTGTTTCCCACGCCCGCGCGCCCGCGTGCGCCGGCGCAGCTCGCGTTACGCGCGATTGTCCAGACTTGCGCGCGGTGTTGTGATCGCCAGCGCTTTGTCGTCGTCTTCGCCCGCCTTTGTTTTGGTTTAGATGACAGGTTCACACGGTTTTGATTGACGTCCCATTTTTTGCGACTAGTTTTTAGTAGGCGTCTTTATTTGCGGAAATGTTTGATAAAATTTTGAGTTTGACAGGTAAACTACCTACTTTCTTGTTTGATAACTTTTCTTTTCAAACGTTAGCAAGCAGATATACTATAGAATAGATGTGCTTTTTATCTCAGACTATTGAACATTACGCACTACATCTCAATATTGCTCTACCTACAACATAGCTATGCGTTAGTTGGGAGCATTTTTGGATAATCAGTAAATTGGTATTGATGTCAAATTGACTGTCAATTTGGTGTACCTAATTACCTTAACACACACAGTTATCGCAAGATTTAAATCCAGTGCGAGAGTTGCGTTTACGAAAAAGTACTAAAACTATGCCAAAAATATTTTTGATATTTGAGGAAGGCACTATAGTTTCAGTTGTACAGTTTCAGATAACTTACCATGTTTTTAGGGTTCCGGACAATCTCTAATAATTTTACTAAACCGGGTTAAAATGTTTGACTTTATAAATCCTCGTTTCAGTGTCAAGAATCCATAGTTTAGAAATTAAGAAACATGATACAAGGGGACTACTTTAATAATAATAAATAGGTATATAAAAGCAAGCTGGAAAATAGTTGAAGAACAATACTCAAAACTAGGTACTTAATAAAATGTCCAAATTCAACTAAGTAGATTAAGAAACCAAAAACTAATATTTAAACAATATTGCCAGAGCAATGATAATTATTTGAAAAGTCAACAATACTATTCATATAAATTAAAAAAATGCCTGGACATTTTTATTTACTTATCAACTTCTTTCTTCGCTGATCAAAATAGGTAGATATATCATACTAGATCAGAATCTTAAACGTAGTTCGTAGACTTAAAATAATACATTTTAACACTTTTTATAATCGAATTTTATTGAGTCACACAAACACCTACTTAAATAATAAAAACAAATTTTCAGCATTTTTTCATCACTCGAAATGATTCTAAAATAATCAGAGAGCTCACTTGTAAACTGTATTTAAAAATAAAGACTGATCTCAAAAATCCTGACTCTATCAACTTTCCGCAACGGTTACATATTCAAAACAGAGTAAAAAAATAAAATTTTAGGAAGGCTATGATTTATTTTAACAGTAAGAAGTACTTAAGAAAATTATATTTCTTATTGTGTGACTTGAAATTTTTTATTGCACTTGATCTTCAATTGCCAAAGAACATAATATTGAAATTGAAATTAAATTAAAAGAATCAAATTAATATCTTTCAAAATCAGGTCAACTGCTTGAGTGTCTCCCCTTTGTCCATTGGGAGAGTCCTAATCTTGACCACATTCTTGGTAAGATTCTATTTAACTTCAAAAGTAAGTTAGCTCAATTTGTTTTCCAATTGAGATTAAAATTTTGTTGCATGCATCCTTTAGTAACATGCAGTCAGCATAAAACATTTTTGCAAATGTGGGTAACATAGTAAAACTAAAGTTCTATGCATTATTATATTAATGAGCTAAATACTCATTATTTCATATAATCAGTTTTGGTATAATAAAAAACACAAGTTCGAAAATACTAAGGTAACTTAACAGTAACTAAAAGTTAAATGAATCATAAAATTAAATATTTATTTTCGAGCGAAAGTGCAAAAGCACAAATTGTACATTAATTTATTGTGTTTTTTTTTTCAATTGACTACCTATCGTGAAGAATAAAGAATTGCTAAAGTATAATTCATAATAGTTTCATATTTTAAAACACTCTATACCTTACTTTGGCAAAATTGGATTCTAAAAATTATAGCACAAAATTAATGCAGTATTGTTAATGATCCTTGTGTTTTTCATTTTGTTACTTTAAAACTAAATTTTTAAACAATGATTACATAAATATATTTTTTAATTATTTTATCAAAGGCTTTGTCTTTTTGGTATTTCCATTCAGACTATTGTTTTGTAATATAATGTTCTTGTTTTCTATTCAAATCAAACAGAAAAATTAAACGATCCGTGTAAAATTCAAACTAATAATATTTTTTTTGTTATTTTTAATTACTAAATATTTTGAAAAATTTATTTAATTTTTTAGTTTTTTTTTATTGATGGTAATTTTAGTAGCATGTGCATTGTATGTACTCAAGTCTAACTCATTAATAGAGCGCCATCTTCCGACATCCGATCCTACAGTTTTCGTTTTTGAAGTACGCTCGACGCGGTGCTAAATTACAGGTAGGCGTCCGCACTCCTGATAATGGGGCATTATGCCTCGAAGGAAGCCATCGAGACGCGCGAGGCTAAACATAATAAACCTGGAGTGCACTGAGTGAGAAATTACGCGCCAATCCACCTGCCCGTAATGCTGCATTCACCCCCCTCCCCCCTCCCCCTGCGCCGGCTCGCCGCGGATCTATTCATTTCTTACAATTAATCAAAATTAAATCAACCGCCGAGCACGCGGGCGAGTTTCGAGTCTAACCCCAGCACTGAACGGTCCGATTTCAGCCGGCGGAACGTTGAGTAGGCGTGTCCGTCGCGAAGAAATCTGGCCAATAGAGTGCGGTAACAAAATATCCGTATTGGCTATTAATAGGCCCCGCCCGCGCGCCTGGGGGGGACGTGGCCCCGCGCGGAACGACGTAACTGCCGCTCGGGCGTGCGGACTTACGCCCCGCTCGAACTGAGCGAACGAAACGAGCTTCAGCTCCGAAAGGGCGTGGGGCGTACGCAAAGGGTGCTGAAATACGCCAGTTCGGTAGTGGAGCCCCGGCCGGGCTCTGTCGAGGGGGGTTTTCTCGTTTTTACAAGGTGCCGGGCGGCGCCGGCGGTCAGAAGCGCTCCAGTCGCCGCGGCGAGTGCTCGTGTCGCAATCGCGAAACCACAATCTACACGATTTTCCGCGATTTTTCCACCGACTTGGAAAATAATTTGAAATATATAGCATTTACCGAACTTGGCTTAGTACTTATCGGTCTAATTTTATCAATACTTATTTAGATAAGCTAGAAAATAAAAGTGTTGTTACATTCAGAACTCAAGCAAGTGTTTTTATGATAAGAAACTTACTATTCTACTTATCGAAGTATCAATCGAATAAAGTTGTGAATAATATAGAATAGAAGTAATCATAAAATGGCTCTCCAAACAAAGAAGCAAATGTATGCAAAGTAAACTTAAGCAGAGAGCAGAAGAGAGAAGCTCTACGCAAAATGCAAGCGATGAGCGCGAACGCGAGCGCGCCCAGGGCGCCTCAACGCTCGCCGTTCGCTATCCAGGAGTTGCTGGGGCTCTCAGATAACAGAGAATCTAGAGAGAGATACTTTGAAAATCGAGATAGCGACAGAGTTTTGAATTTGTCAGAGAGTAGAGAGCCAAGATCACCCTACACTCCGCAGTTCCCTCTGCCAGCCTCCGTGGCGAGCCGGGTGGCCTATGCTGCGGCTTTCAACGCGCAAGCGGCGGTGGCTGCTGCCTTCCTGCCCGGGCCGCCGCTCCTGCATCCCCCACCTGGTGAGTGAATCATTTCTTCTCGGTCACTTTTTTCGTCGAGATTTATGCAGGCTTGATTCTATCCCATCTTATGAAAAAATGAACATTCTGCGATGCGATGATCAAATCGCTCTATTCCAATATTATAGCGGAAAGGCAACTTAAAATTATCAGCTGACTTGAAATTACTAAAAAAACAATACACAGTTAAAGCGTTTAATGAGATAATATTAACTTTCGTGCTTATTTATCAAGTTTACTAAACTTTTATTAGTGTTTAACGTTTGGCAAGCCTACACTCGTGTCAAAAAACCTTACCGAAGCCGGGTCTGGCGCGAAAGATGTTCGGTTCATTGTGGCGGTTGATTATAATATAATTAGGCCTTTATCGCGTAATTAGCATCTGTGCGCGCGCGCCGGCGGCTCGGGTTACGCGCGATTTAACTTATTGAGGGCCCTCGGCTTTGTCTCGGCTGTCTGCTCGAGAGCTCATTGAAAGCGGCCTAAGATGAGCTTGAAAGATCTTGACGGATGCAGTGTGAATCCGTTTAAAATATTGAGATTCGCTTTACTCCAGCAAACACGCCTCGAAGATTGATGGCAAATATTTTTAAATAAAGATGTATACCGCACCTACTTTCGCAATCATAATAACGTTTTAAAAATTATAAAACCGCTTTCCCTATTTAAATACATAGGTATATATTGAAAATAACACATATTTTTAGATTAACATTTTTATGTTTAAATGAATGAGATGTGTTAATAGTTATTACAACGTTAAGTCATTTTATAAGTTATTCCTCTCAAGGCAATAACTAAGTAATGCGTTTGGATAAAATATATGCAAAACTTATTTTCTTAGTTTTCATAAAAACAAAACAAAATAAAATTTTAACATTAGAAAACGTTACTTACATAACATATTACAATTTAAGCTTACCAGTAAGGTAAAGCTTTTTAAAGCCGACGGCAAAACTGAAGCTTTTTTAGTAGATATTTTAAAGCTCAAAACTAGAACATACATTGTTTGGTATCATGATAAAATGCTCATACTTACAAAAATACGGATAATATTATTAATTTATTGTTTAATTAATGAGCTGTATAAAGCTCTCTAATGAAAAACTTTACTAAATAACCCTCCTTCTGTCGCATGCGGGTAAAAAAGCTTTCATACTGTTGTTGTTATATTCTTTTCTTACTAAATTACGAATTTCACAATATTTTGTAATAATAAAATGCCAGGTAATCAAAAATATAACAGGTACTTAGTAAACAAAGGTTAACAAATAATAAATGTAATTATACATAGTTACTAAATTCGGGAGTACGTGTTTATCATATTTTTTTTACATTAAAGAGTAATATTTAAAAAATATTATGTACCTACTTATTGTCTTAAATCATCTTTTGTGTTAAATATTACAAATTGCATAGTAAGCAGGTACGAGTAAGTAATATAAGTAAATAATTTTGTTCCCCAACCTACGAAAATGTTACAATCATAGGTATTTATTCTGAAATATTATGTAGGTATTAATTTAATATTTTTCATGAACCTAAGTCTTCTATCGTTTAGACTATAATACGAGTATTTGTACAGCGTGAGTAAATAAATTTTACTGACTCAACATGCACTACAATACCCTGATTCATCATTTTCATTTAAAAACAGCAATATGAGTAAATATACTTAAAATTATAGTCGGCTTCGGAGGTGTTTATTAAACTATCTATGTAAATAATTATAATATAATGACCCGATACAATTACAGATATACACGAATGCACTATACACCATGACTTAAGATATAAATGCTCTTGCACAAAAAACAAATTGCCTTCAACGCATCCGATTCGCAACCGCTATATCAATTTAGGTCATTAAATCAGGATCTAGACATAGAACGACATTTTCTCTACATGTACTACCTAGGTACAAGGCGTGAGCCTATCTCTCTAACTTTGTAGGTTTTATTCATCGGGTCTAAACAGACAGATGTGCGTAGAGTGGTGTCAGTGGGCGCGCGGCAATCAGTGCGCAGCCGGCGCGAGACAAAGGACCCGGCCCTATTAGCGAATTATTATTATTAGCAGCTTCGTGCAATGAGGGAAACGATGTTTGGCGGATTCCTAAATTGCGACGATTAGGCCAAAAAAGTAACTAAGTCTGAATGCATCGCTTGCTATTACTAAAATAAGAGATCCGTGAGAACACTATGGATTTAAAACGTTATTTTATGTAATAATTAGTAAATGATTCCGGAGTAAAAAAACTGATGACATTTTAAGACCTGTATTTACCATGTGCCAAGTAAATAAATAAAATGCACCGGCCCGGAATTTCAAAGATTTCCTCTAACACAAAAAGGTGCTTTTTCAATCTAATATTATGGTCATTGCAAATGTTAGGGTATTAATGCTACAAAAAAAATATTAGCATGAATCCGCTTGAGTTTTCGGTATTGATACAAAGTTTTATTCTTCTTCTTCTTCCTCGTTCCCTCACTGATGAGGATCGCGACCACGGATAGTGTTCCTCCACAAAGTTTTATTACTCAGCAACTTAAAGACAATGAAAATCTTTTTTTTTTTGCCTAGAAAGCTTAAAAAATTAGGTTAAACACTATTTTTATCAACATCATTAATTTGTTTTAATATTTTATGGATAGATACGAGTATTTTAATAAGTTATTGTAATTTTGATAGCCAAGAAATTTAGTTATATTTAATTAAAGCTTTCCTAAGAAAGTTTAAACCAGAACTTAAAGTTAACAAGATAACTGTATTAATACTGCCTAAAAAGTTTATTTTCTTGATCAGCATAAATTAATATGACTTTATATAGAAAGCGCAACCTTAAATACTATTTTTCGATAAATTCACGAAAATAATCTACAAATTTCGAATTTACGGATTGATATAATTTTGTTACATTGATTTTTTGCCTTTATGGAAATCATTAGGGGCGGCCTATGTTCAGCAGTGGACGTCCTATGACTGAAATGATGATGATGATGATTTGTAACTTGGCTGAAACGTCTTCTTTTATCTCACACGTTTTTACGTCATAGCTCTGTTCGAAAATTGTTTATTAAAACACAACACCTACCCTCCTGAACTGGCCTATTGACCTCACAGCCCGTTCTCACATTTCCATGGCCGCCTAATCTAAAGCCCGAGGACAACACGCGGCAGCCAGCGACACCTCGCTCCGAACTGCCCAAAAAGACGGCTCCGACGGCCTTTGTCTCGAAGAAAGGACGCGACCACGCTCACACCTACTCAAATGCCCCTTTATGAGTGCACAAAGCGCGCAGATAAAGAGCACTCCTTCAATAGATGAATTAAAACAAGCTCTCATGACAGTGGTCAGTAAAAATAATAAGGTTTTTGACGGTTCTGGAGTGCGATTGTTCGAATTAGTGTTTGTTTACACTTCGCAAAACACGCTCGCTTAAACCTGTTGGGAACGGGGTATTCAATGACCTTACACCATCATTCTCAATTGTTCAACATCTACAACATCTTTTCTAATGTCAGAATCATTTAGCCTTTTTAAAAATACGTCTGCAAGTATTCGGATCCCAAGAATAGAAACCCTAGTACCTTTTAAATAAAGTTTTTAATACGTTAATCTGGTTTAGTCAAAATGATTGAGACTTCATTGCAATTTTGATATGCAATTGAAATTTATTTATTTAGAAACTCAACAGCTGCTTTACAATATTCGTGTTAGTTTTAAGAGCATTAAATCTAAGCCAATTAAAGAGTTTCCTAGCTGCTTAATAAGTTTGTATATTACATTTACCATGAAATGAGTTAACAAGCGTTGCATGCTCAACCGTGCCTATAAAATAATAATCACGATTGAACATGCAGCACTCTGGTAGTATACAACAACACAATTAAACATTCATTAAATAAAAATTCTATAAACTATTTATTAAAATACTTTACTATAAATTACAATGCTACGAGTATCATACTCGTGGTATAACATTATTTTGTGAAAACTGAAAAATGTTAAAAACTTTATGCGAATGAAATCACAGATGATGGTATCTCTGTAACCTTGTACAATGCATAAAATATTCGCATAATTAATAAACACACAGCCTGGGTTTTGAGTTTTGTCTCTTTGATAGGCTTGAATGAGTCTTAGAAATAATAAATACTAAACGTACGATTTTATGATTTATTCAGATTCCTTACTGATCAAATATTTTTAATTACAAAGCTTGTATGATAACAATATTTTTCACGTATTTGCTTTAGTAATTTACATGATTGAATTATAAATCCGTAGGCCCTTAGCATAAGATCTACCTAAGTTTATTTTATAAGGAAATACATTGTTTCTCATTTTAAGTGAAATGTGCAATTTCTTTTGAGAAATAAATTTTTAAACCTTATAAATAACTTGAAGAAATCGAACTGCCTAAGGCGGGAACTGCCTAGTTTGAGCAGCGACTCTAAATGCCATGAAATTTTACATAAATAATTTGTTCAAAAGACAACATTGACTCTATAAAACTACTTCAATTTGTGCAGTATATTTTGGTCACTGTATTTACGGTTATTGTCGTTAGCAGTGAACCCAAGTTGTAATAAACGCAAACGATTGTTGTTGTGCGTCCGTTGTCGGAGTACAATGTAGGTCACATCGATCTGCGGCGGAATGCGGCGCGAATTAGGCACCGCATTAGCAGTTATCAGACCCCTGCTTAAGCCCGTCAACACTGCCAGAGATAATTGTGGCGGACGTAGAGCAAGCTAAGTAGTACAACTGAACATATGCTAAGTTAGAGAACAACTGAACACATGTCATGCCGGCTGACAATATTGTCATTGCTGAAAAAAGCTCGTCCATGAAGCCCGTCAACACCGGCAGAGATCATTTTGTGGTAGACGTAGAGCAAGCTAAGTTTACGGAACAGCACAAATGAACACATGCTATGACGGCTGACAATGTTTTCATTACTGAAAAAAAGCTCGTTCATGAAGCCCGTCAACAC